AGAAGAAGAACAGAGAAGAAAAGAAGAAGAACAGATAAGGAGATTAGAAGAAGAGAGAAGGAGAAGAGAAGAAGAGAGAAGGATAGAAGAAGAACAGAGAAGGATAGAAGAACAGAGAAGGATAGAAGAAGAACAGAGAAGGATAGAAGAAGAACAGAGAAGGATAGAAGAAGAAGAGAGAAGGAGAGAAGAAGAGAGAAGGAGAGAAGAAGAGAGAAGGAGAGAAGAACTCGTGGATTCGTGGATCGTGGGACTAAAAACAGCAAATTTAAAGCACACGCATATTGTACATCAAACGAAAATGAACTCAGATTACTTCCCAACAAATGAAATAAAAAACGCAGACATTAATAAAGATGAAGAAAAACTATCGTCGCGTAAATTCAGTGAAAACAGAAACTCGAATCATTCAATCAGCAGAAGTGAAGACACTAAAAGCGATGATATTAAGATTAGAGGTGGACGCCAAGTGACATCAACGTCTCCTTACGGGATATGTCAAAAAAAATTTAATCGTTCGTATATACCAAACATTGAAAAAAGTGTTGAAGACATTACGCGTGAAATGAACCATATCTCCATATCGGACCGCCACGAAATAAATGAAATCTTAGACGTAGTATCTAAGGAACTAAAAAGACCAGGTTCCAATTATTGGAGAAAACCCAATGTAGAAGAACTACGTAAGACTTTAACGAATAACCCCTCAGACTATGGACCCTGCATAGTAGAAATATGTCATTCAGTCAAACATGTCAAGGGCTACAGGCCTAGAAATACCCAGCTGGTGTCACTTTGTCTCTTGATTAAATCATCATTCCATGAGGGCCGCTTGTTGGAAATAAAAACAGGAGAAGGAAAGTCCTGTATCGTAGCAATGTTTGCAGTGTTTCTAGCACTGTCGGGAAGATCAGTTGATATCATTACCAGCTCGCCAATTCTAGCAGTAAGAGATTCTGTAGAATGGCGTGACTTTTACAAGCAATTTAAACTTGAAGTTGGATGCAATTTAATCCCCAAGGAAAATGAAGATCGTCTAAAATGTTACAAAAACCCAGTTGTCTACGGAACAGTGGGATCCTTCGCGTCTGACATTCTCAGGCAAGAGTTTTTAATGGAAGATGTGCGTGGTGCCAGGAAATTTGATGCAGTAATTGTAGATGAAGTTGACTCGATGCTACTCGACCAAGGAGTCAATTTTACCTATCTTTCGAGTCCTGCCCCAGGGATGCATCATATCCAACCAATACTTTTGATGATTTGGAATGAGGTCATACGTCATCCGGTAGTTCGATCAAATCTGGATCGAAATTACTTCGTTGGAAAGCAAGAACTACTCCATGTCGTACTGTCAAACATGAAGAAGCTAATCGAATTCGACCCCCTGGACATTTTGGGTTTTCTAGAAGAAGATGGTGTCCTGCGAAAGGGCTTCACTGAAGATGTAAAAGAACAAGTCCTCATGGATCAAACCAAAACGGGTTTCTTCCGAAATGAAATGACCAAAGAGAAAATGTTAAAGTGCTTGCGGCATGTAGAATCTAAGTTTCATATGTCAATAGAATTGTTTGAGATGTACGACGGATCAACAATTCATAAGGTTAACAAAGATCCTGATCCTGGGGAGATCCTGGGAGATCCTGGGGAGCAAGCTCGTCATCAGTTACTGATTGTTGGCGAAGGATTGGTTTGTGTACTGTACCAGAACAAGAAGACGTTATGTGAACACATCAAAGAAAAAATTAAAAGAATCCTGACTACTGGATGCCAAGATGAAGGGGAATGTGACTATGAATTTCCATCCTATCTATCGGAATTTGTTTACAGTAGACTTCCTAAATGGATTGATAACGCATTCATTGCCCTTTCTGTGGTGTATTTTCTAAATAATAATCAACTACACTAAACCATGTGCTTTGATGCTCGTCTCTTTATTACACACATGCGCACTCGCACGCTTGCAAACCTAACAGGGGTGGGGTGGGTAAATCCACCAACACTACATCTCTCCCTTTTTTTAAAACATGAGTTCACACATGGTTGAGCAAAACA